GGCTAAATAAACAAAGATGAAAGGGACGTTAGGAGAGGAAAATGCCAGATAGCTTTTATTTTTATATCAGCAAAAGTAGAATCTTTTGAGAATAATTCTTAGGCTCCTGGATCAGCCTTAAGGTCCTAAGGCTGGCCAATTCAAATTAAGCCTGAAATAGATTTCTCTTAACAGCAACAGTTTGATATAGGTCTCTAGACTGGGGCCAGAGTGACACATTGCTCTAGGATCTCAAGTGAGAAATCAGCGCCCCTAGAAGTTTCTGACATGCAATTTCTTGATTCCAAGAGTCCTATCCCAAATGGCAGAGCCCCTTCCCAGCTTAGGTAGTTACTTTGTTATAGTACTGCTCATTCATACAGTCCCTAAAGCAATAAGTGAATGGTGCTTATTTATTCTGAATTCTATATCCTATAACATTAAATTTGAGAGCTTAACATTTAACCAGCTTGTTGCACTAGAAGCTTCTTTAGCTGGATTTTTTGCTAGCTTTATGAGACATCTTAAATTAAGTATCCAGCTGGGATCAATGAAAACAGAAACTATCTCGAGATAGGCAGCTTTCAACTCACAGTCCCCTTATCACTTAGATAGGATCTGCCTGCCCTGGCTCCCTTCTCCCTATGGGGGAAGAGGGTGTCCCTAACATGCCCATGGGAATCTTGTGGGAAAGATTCCATAGGAACTATGTGGGCTCAGAAAATGGAGAGGGGAAGGAGCTGTGAAACCCGGGAAGAGCCACGGGGAGCTGACCCGGGGGCAGAATCTCAGGCAAGGCTGGCCTGCCTATGTGCTGACCCAGTGATTGACTGCAGGGCCCAAAATAGCCTCCCCGCAAGACCTGCACTTCTTTCAGTCTCTGTACTATGTTGTGCTGCTTGAAATTCCACCATTTAGAGCAACATCTTGTCTTGGCAGAAGCAGGAGTGAAAGATTGTGGCGGGAGAAAAGGCATTCATTGGGTGCGTGGGGAGGGGCCGTTGGAAGTAGGAGGGTGGCAGCTACAATACCTATTTATGGGGCACAGGCTTTACAGGAATTATCTCATCCTCTCTCCCAGCAACCCCATGAGGCAGGTTTAATATTATCCTTATATTACAGATGAGGAAACTGAGGTTTAAGAGATATTAAGTAACAGCTGGTTAAGTGGCAAGGCTGGATCTAAACCATAGTTTGATCTGAATGTGTAAACTTAAGCTCTTGCTTATTGAAACTCCTCATTTCTTGCTCTATGCTCTCCTTCTGCAGGGACCTTATGGGGTCTGGCACCCTGGTAAGAGACTCTAGCCTAATAATATTGTGACTTATATTTCAGTTATATCGTGGTTGACATAGATTTTTGTGGGCTAGCCTGGGAACTTGATAGCTTGATATTTAAGATTGTTTCTGTAGGAAATTTTGTGACTTGCTGCCAAACTGGTGGAATATAATCACATTATATTACAATAAATTCTGCATTACCCTAATTACAATTTAACAATGCTCAATGTACCTTCTAGTTGGCTTCCAGTCACACAAAAAGCTCACCTTTCCAGCCCAAGGTTCTTCATGTTTAGTTTTAGTTTACAATGCTATTGAATATACAATGCCACACATTTATATTTACTAGATGATATGTTCCATGAGCACAGGGGCTCATGTATTATGTGTACCAAGGATTCTCTAGCACCTAGGACAGTGCCTGGCACATACAGGCACATATTAACTATTTGTTGAATGAATATGTGCTTTTAGATGGATAATTTCTAAAACCAGATGCACTTTATGCTGTTACTTGTGAAACACATTTAGAGCTGTCACACACAGCTGACATCTGGCATATGACTACGATTAACTAACCTTGAATAAATTCAGACAACCTTGTGCAACACAGTTTTAGTCATTAGTTGAAGACCTTCCTCACACATCAAGTGTTTTCCCCTACGTAGCAAAACCGAACGCTCTGCGTTTCAGTGGTTGGGGGAAACTCTGGTCTCAGGTTCAGCAGACCTGCTTCTGGCCGCAGTGGAACTCTGGCACTTGGGACAAGCTGCTTTACCTCTTGAGGCCTGAGGACCATAAGAGGATTCCTTTCTATGACATCTGCAAGTTTCATCTTCTAGCTTCACTTGCACCTTCCTCACGCCTGCTCTAATCGCCCTTTGGAGACGATGCTGGCACAAAGCAAAATAAAAGAACAAAGCTAAAGGGAAAAGTCTTGAATGCCTTAATAGGGAACTCACAAGCCCTTGAGTTTAGACAAGTTCAAAGTTGCTATAGGAGGCAGCCACAGCCCATTTACTTCATAGCCAACCAAGTGAACCAGTGATGAATTCTATTTGGCTAGTTCATCCTGTGATCATGCTAAGAACAGAATTCTGGCTGTTTCATTTACACTGGAACCAGGAGAACACACGCAACCTCAAGGGTGAGTGTGCGGACGGGGTGCAGTCTGGCCCCCTTTGAACAGCACAGGATGACTGTTAAAGTGGCACAAAAGAACCTTTGCTCAATCACTAAGTTACAAACATTTGAAAAGAAGAGAGACCATTATTTACAGTAGTTTCTATTTTCAAATGAAACAAGTGACTTAATGTTTTTCTGCATAAGCCTTAAGTAGTCGCATGGTGTACAGTGCAGGATATAAATGTCAGCACTGTGACAGGGGTGTGTTGACACTGGTTGAGTGGTCAAGTCTGCGCACTGTCGTCATTCTGCCTTCCCTACACTGACAGCTTGCTACCGAATTGAACATACCTGGAAAGAAGTCAATTTGGCTTAGAATGCAGCTCAGTTTCTCTTTGGGAACGCTTCTCTTTCAAGTTTCCTCTAGGATCTATTGGGTCTTCCCACAGATAAAACAGAATTGGGTGTGTTCTGCTGGTTCAGTTATAAATAGAGAAGTCAGAATCTTGTCCATTGATGACTTAGCATCAGTTTTGGGAAGGGGAAGTAATCTCCCTTCCCCCACAATATGCCCTCTCCCCCACAATCAGTAAGATTAATGCCACCTTGCTTGCTTTGTGATTGGTTGTAGCTTATATGAGGCACAGATTTTCTTAGGGTATTATCAAGTCATAGTGATTCAACCTTGACTGCACTTGAGACTTACCTGGGGACCATCTAAATATGCAGATGCCCAGGCCACACCCCAAACTAATTAAATCAGAGTCTCGCAGGGTGAGGCCCAGCAGCAGTATTCATTAAAGTTCCCCAAGTGATTCCAGCGAGCAGGGGTTTCTCCTTATGAGTCTCTTCCCAAAGGATGGTTAGGGCAGGACCATGAAGGCCAGGGGGCAAATCTCATAGCTACTTGCATTTTGGAGTGACATGGCTTCCCTTTACTGTATAGTTGTAAACTGTTCATTGAGTTCTAAAGTAAGTAACTTGTCCAAAGTCATAGTTAGTTGAAAACAGAGCCAGAACCAGGAGCCAGCACTAAATAAGACTAGGTAGACAGGATACTAATATGTTAATTAAATCTCTATGAATTAATCAGCTTCATAATCAGGCACAGTCATTTTTCTCTCCTGAATGCCCTGGTTAGAGAACTATTATCGGCCACTGTGTTCTGTTCCTCTGGCCTAGGCTGTTTGAATGAATGAAAAGCCACTCAGCTCTCATGGGTACTGTTCTGAAGACCATGGCACTAAGGGGCATTTTAAATTTAAGTTTCTATTGGAGAAGCATTTATATCCATTAAGATGGAAATTCATAGTTGAAACCAAAACCTTTAAAAATAGGTTTATACAACTAATTGACAGAAACTCTTGGAACAGTTACTTTAATTTCAAGGGATCAACCATGTTCTCTTTCTAATCCTAAGTCACTCTTGAAGTTTTAATTTGCCTTAGGAAAAAAATGAACTTTTTCTCTTTCAGGACCTCTGGAAGAAGATGCTTTTGTTGTAATTAAGCATAAAATAAGCCCATCACATTTCCTGGGCTGTTTTTAGCCCAAGGCCACAGGGTTCGGGGTACTCTTAGCATACAGCTGATTTGTGGGGCCTCTTCTACTGTGCAGATGACCACAGGATGTTTCAAGTGCAAAACAGAGGGGTAACGGAAGGGGGGAGTAGCCAGGGTGACATCCTGGATACAGCCCACATTGCTTTATTTTGGGGTTGTGTCAAATCTTCTAGTGTTATCTTTGTTGCCTACATACCTCCCCAGAAACCTCTAACTTGTAATGGAGCACACCTGGCTTTATGCAACAGCTAAGCTTCTGAAGAGTGGAGGGTAAATTATATCAAATCACAGTTGACATGGCCTAATAAATTTCCTATCTAAAACGTTAATTTTTGAGAGGTAAATCACATATTTATTTTCTAATACGAATAACCTTGTCTTTTCTTAAGAGTTAAACATGGTCTTGTGTGGAGTGAACTACAGCTCTTTTCCCTAGTCCCAGCTAGCACTATTTACCGTTAAGTCTTTCTAGAACCGGAACTTTTCTGAACAGACTTGACACTGCCCAGATGCTTGTTTTGGAAATAGAGGCCCTTCTGTGTTTTCTCTGACTCTGGCTTGGTTTTGTGAAACCTCAGCCTTTCCCTTGCAAGGGCAGTTTAGGATGGAAATGCAATTGTTTTCAGAATTCAGCACAACCAGACACACCCAAACAGATAAAGGGCTTTGGAAGAAAGAGAAATGTGATGTGTATGTGTGTATACGTGATGGGGAAGCAGAGACAAGGGGACAACTGTGTGTTTTCCTATGGCGGTGGTAGTGGTGGGGAAAATATCCGTTCATCGGAATGCTAAACGGACAGCAAAAAAATTTGATACCCTCTGTGCTGGGCAAACTAGCAGATGTCATATACAGACCAGGCGTCCGGGGCCTTTGGGCAGCAGCCGGCAGCTAGGGCACCGGGAGGGGGCTTCAGCGCCTGCAGCGCAGCTCCGCCCGCGGGTCGGGGAAAGCCTACGGCCGTCCTGGCTGCCTTGGGGTGCGTGCGGGCAGCGGGTGGGGGTGCGTAGGGGTCCGTCGGCGGCCCCCCCGCGGGGAGGGAACGGTTCTTACAGTCACTGCTCAGCGCGAAGGGCGCGCGGCGGCGGCCGAGGGAGCGGTCTTCGGCGGGCGCCTCGGGAGGCCTCTTACCGGCGGGCAGCGGGAAGGCGGACGCGGTGTGGAGCAGCACCAGGCAGACAGCCACGACATCCCATAACTTCATCTTAGAGTCCCGTCCGGCGGCGGCACCTGCGCGGGCGGGCGGGCGGGCGGGGGAGAGAACCAGAGAATGCACTTTACGCCAGGACGCCGAGGGCCGCCGCACTGCCCTGGGCGCGGCATCCCCGCGGGTCCCTGTGCCCCTCTCCAAACTCGTCACCGCCCTCCTCCGGGACGGCTGCAGCCCAGAGGTTCCCTGGGCATCCCCCGCCCTCTTTCCAAGTCCCCTGCTCGCTCCCTCTCCCGGGTGCGCCCCAGGCGCGGCTTGCTCTCCGCGTCCAACCCACAAGGAAGCCCTTCCCTTCCGCCACCTGATCCCTAGGGTCAGATTTTCCAGCAGGGCTGCTGCCCCCGCCGGTACCAATACAACGACAGCAGGACACCTGGCCAACATGATGACACCAGTACTGGCGCGCAACACTCCCCAATCCCCTGCGGGGCGACTGGACAGCCTCACCCTGTGTCCCCCGCCCCAGCCACATGCCTCCCTACCCTGTCAGGCAGCTCCCTTGGGCCCCGGGAACCAGCCCTCGACCAAAGCAAGCAACCAGCCTTCGATTTTAGGAATAAAATCAAGTGCACCCTCTGCCCAGGGTCCTGATCCAGCTCTCAGCTAGGCGGGGGCAGGCTCGGTGGCACCACTCACCCCGCCTGCGCTTCAGTCCTCCCACTTAAATAAGTATTTTGTCGCCGGAACAAGAAGTTAGTAAGGACGTGGAGACTTTGGGCCTGAAAGGGAATATCTGCGTTAAGTTACTTAACTTTGCGCATCAGCTTGGTTTGACATACTACTTCACCTCTTAAGGTTATGCACATTAAATAATGTATGAAAAGGCCTAGAAGAGCATAAAGTAAGCGCTCAATAAATGCTTTAGCATTGCTGCCAGGTAGCGATTGTAATTGTCTTGAAAATTTTAATCCTTGGTGGTATACCCGAACGCCCTCACTTTATTTTTGCAGCTTTGGCAGATTCTGGCCCTAAATCTCTTCCCCTCCCAGAGAAGTCTCGAGCTGCCCGCGCCCGAGTCACAGTCACTCCTGGACGCCTGTACCCAGTCCCGGACGCTGCGGAGGCGCAGGGGCACCAGAAGGCCTAGACCGCGAAAGGGCGCGCGGTGGGGGCCCAGGTCTTCTCAGCTAGGGGGCTCCGTTTGACTTCTCAGTCTTCACAACCCTAGAAAGGAGAGCCATGCAGCCGGGGTCGGGCGAGAAAAAGGTAAAGTCAACTCCTGGCTAAGCAATACCCAATTAGGAGGTGGGGAGGGGACCCGAGCACCTGGGGGGGTGGGGCGGTGCGGTGTTACCCAGTGCCTTCCCAATGCCAGTGTTCCGGTTTCCAGGAGAATTCTCAAGTGGAAACTACGAGATTCATGCAGTTGATTATCCCCTCTCCTCCAAATAAAACGGAGTCTTAGGAAAATTTCCCTGAACTTTTTCCATGGGAGAAAGTAAGAGAGTTTCCAGGTAAATGCAAAAACCTCGGCACCTTTCCTCTCCGTGAGTTCCCAGGCTCGCCCGCCTCCCTTCCAGTAGCCGCCCCCTCCCACGCCCATCTCCATCCAGAACTCCCGCCCGGGTTCCCGTGCAGGCCACCCCGGGAAGCGTTTAATTCGGCCGCCACCTCCCACCGCTGCGGACACGAATGCATTTTCCATCCTGTGGGCGTCTATTTGTTCGCTAGGCAGCTGTTGGGCTCGGGGAGTTTGTAGGCACTAGGAACTCCGAGCAACCTGCAGCTCCAGGCGCCTCATGCCGCGCTGGCTGGTTTAAACCCGGGAAAAAGCAAAGGCTCTGGGTTTGGGCGCACGGGCCCAGGAAACACTGCGTCGGGCCGTGCAAAAAGAGCGCAGCGAGGCGCTTTGGGAGAGAGGTCTGGGGAATCGCGAGGCCTCCCGCCCCTCGCCCCAATGTCAGCTCTCGGGTGTGTGCGAAATGGCTGGCGGCCCCGAGAAGTCGGGAGGCGCGGGGTTAATGCGCCATTCCAAATCGCGGTGCCCGCCAGCAGGAAGCGACAGAGGCACCAGATTTCCCTTCCGCATTAAGAGGGTTTTTCCTTTTTTTTTCTGCTTGGCCGACGGAGGGCTTTTTAAATTGGACGTGGAGATCCTCAATTAGAAGTGTGGCGAAGCTGGCAAAAGAGGAAACAGTGGAAAACTCCCCGCCTCGTCAGAGGAGGCTCCCGGCTGCCATTCCCGCCCTCGCCGGCTGCGGCGCAGGCCCCGAAAGAGCTCTCCCACCTCCCCCGGGACGGGGAGGGCGCATTCTTCCCTCTGAGCACCGCCCGGGCCGGCTCCAGTCGGAGCGTCTCTTTAGTTCCCGGTATTCGCTGGGCGGAGGAAGAGGAGGGGGCCTGGGGACTGAGCATACACAGCGGTCTACTAGGACGTTTTCCTCCGAGCCCATCTGGGCGCCCCACCCCACCTCACACACACCCCGCGGCTTCTCGGTTGTCTCTTTATGGCTCTCTCAAAGCACAACAGCCCGATGTGTTTCTGCTGCAACCATCCGCTTTTGCTACGCGCGCGAATAGCTTAAAGCGCTGCCACGTGCGGTCACCAAGCTCTCCTCCCGAAGTCGGCTCTGCCCGGCGCCCCCGCACCGGTTCTTGAACCCCACAGCCAGGTCCCCCTCTGCGCCCGGGACCAACACGCCAGGCAGGGCAGAAGGGGCGCGTCGCGGGGCCGGCATCTGGTGGTCCTCAGGCCCGGGGCGGCAAGGACGCCCAGGAGAGCCGCAGTGCCGGTAAAAGCCGCCGCTCGCAGCGGGGCGCTGCTGGGTTCCCAGCACCAGGGGGCACCAGAAACCGCCGGAGTTCTGTAGCGCCCACGCGGCCCGGAGGCTGCGTTGTCATTTTAAGCGCTAGAAAACTGGCGAAGAAGCACTACCCCTACAATCCTCCCCAAATCCAAATTACCCCCGGCACATTACCAGCGTCCCCGCATTCAGGCTCCTACTCCTCCATCTTCTCTCCCTAATTTTTCTCTACCCACCTCACCTGAGCTGGTATCTCAGTAACCCGCTTTTAGAACTCCCCCATCCCCCGATTCCCCGCGTCACCATGACAGCTTCACCGCGGGTGAGCGCTCCCGCCGCCAGTGCCCCCGCACCTTCTTGTGTCTGGCAGGCTAGGAGGTTTATTTGGGCTTTGCCGTCAAGATCTAGGTCCCAGGGAGAGAAAAGGGAGGCGGGGGCGGGGGTCGTGCAGCAACTCGGGGTTTTCTTTTGGGGTAAGGACACAAGTTGCCTAAAGATATATTACTTTTCTAAACTGTGCTCGTGTCCTAACTGACAGAGGACTTATTCTCCCCCTAAATGTTGGGCTCAAGACAGGGGGAAGGAAGAAGGAGGGACGCTCTCTGCAGACAGTCTGGGGAGGGGTCTGTCTGTTAAGGGGCCAGAGGCCGGGTACCAAATCCGGGAGCACCCGAACCCTTTGCGAGAATGGGCTAGGGACGCTGAGGGCTTCCCGGACACCTGACACTTGTTGAAAAGGCGACACTGTCCCCCAACCCCGCCAAAGCGAAGGCGTGGCGAAACTGTGGGGGCAAGACCCGGTCCAGGCCGGGGGGGGGGGCCCGGGGGGGAGCCCCGCGGCTCCCACTTTGAGGGCTTTGCAGGAAGAGGTGCGTGCGTGAGGTTGGAAGCAACATCTCTTCCTTGGAATACTTAAGTGTATATTCAAAATACTGAGGAAAATTCGAGTGCGCTCTAACATACCCGCCGCAGAGGCCGGAAGAGTTGTGTTTGTCCCCGTCAATGAGCAAAAATATTGGGAGTACGGGGTTGGACAGCCCCCCTCCCCCCAGGGGCGCGCACGTCCGCTCTGCCCGCGGGTTTGCCACAGCCGAACCTAGGGAGGCGCCAAGAGGCTGGGGGGTTCCGGTGCAAGTCCGTTCCCCGCCCCGATGAGGGTTGGTTTTCAACGGGTGGGGCTGGAAATGAAACCACGGAGAAATCAGCCCTGAGGTGGTGCAAGGTAGTGCTGGTGGGGTGTTATTGGGGAGGTGACACAGAGTATAGGAGAAAAGAGGTCATTAAAATAATCACTTCGATGGCCTAGCGGAGACCTTGAGGAGTTTCAGGAGTCTGTTCGAGGCGGAGACGCGAGTCTCCCTCACCTAACTTCGACGCGGATGGTTAATTGGGGTTGTGGGCATTAGGAAGGTGCAAGCAACCGGGTTCCGAAAAGGGTGAGGAATGTAGCTTTGCAAGACCGCGGCCTGACGAGGTGAGCCTTCTATTTTTAGGTTCTCAGCACCTTTGCAGCAGTCCCTCTCCGGGCCTGCGCTGTCCCTCGGAACAGATCAAAACAAGCGTAATAGTAAGTTGCTCTCCCGGCAATGATATCTCTGCAACTGCACGTCCAGACACTCGCTGGTCGCGGTAGGTTCAAAGATGACCCAGCCCCGCACCGTCTCGGGACTTGACAGAAGAGCGCCCTGCCCAGTCGGCGAGCGAACTGCCCTTCTTGGACATTCCAGCCTCCAGAGGCATCAGGGACACCAGAGATCTTTGCCCACGTGGAAAGGCAACCTGCCCCTCCGCAAGGCCAGCCTCTCTCCTGTTCAACTTCTCCTTCTCCTCTGTCCTCCCGGCGCCTCGGGTCCCTCTAGTCTTTCCTCTTTCCAGTCTCACCGCCTTCTCTGGGGTCCAGCCGCGCCCCCTCTGTCTCCGGCGACCCGCAGCCCGCCGCGCCAGCCGGCGCCACCCGCCCCCTCCATCCCGGCCCGCTCCCCCACTTACCTCGGATCCGGTCTCTGCAGACCCCCAGTTGGACATTAACTCCAGGAGCCCCGAGTCCCAGCCAGGAGACCCATCCGGGCCGAGGGCAGGAGCGCGGAGCCCCGCCCAACAAGTCAGGGGCAAAAGTTCGCAATCCTGGGGCTGCTCGGGGCAGCGAGGGTGCGCAGGAGGCGGCGGCCAAGGCTCCCGCCGCCGCCGCCGCCGCGAGGAGGGCGAGGGATGCCGACAGCTCCCCCGCCGGCCCCCCGCACCCCCAGAAGCTGAGGTCCGAGCAGCCGCCGCTGCCTTGGGTGGGGGGTGACACGGCTGCGCGCCCCGCGCTCTTGGCTGGGGTTGCACGGGCCCGGGGCGCGGCGGGCGGCTCAGCCGCGGCGGCCGCGCTCTGCGCCTTCTCGGGGCGCAGCGCCTGGGAGCACAAGACGGGCCGGGCTGATGCTGCCGCCGGAGCTGAGGTCTTGCTTGGAAATCCGAACGAGACACCACGTCAACCGGCGCGAGGAGTCCCGTGAAGACATGAGGGCGCCAGGAGCGCAGGCTGGTCCTTGAGAGCCCGGGCCGGGGGGCCGGGGTGGGGGAGGGGAGGCGCGGGGCCCCAGGAGGGGAGGGGTCGGGAGGCGGCGGTGGAGGAGGGAAAGGAGAGCAACGAGGAGGCGCCCGAGCTCCCGAGGCGGGGGCTCGGGTACGAGTGGGTGACGCGAGGCGCCCCTCCCCGGGGTGCAGGGGGAGAGCTCAGTGCGTGGAGACGCTGCCTGGCTCGCGCCTCCCCCTCGCCGGGTAGATCCGGAGGAATGTGCGGAGCTCGTCGCAGACCAACCGAGGGGGGCAATCCGAACTTGACCGCGGCGCCCGCGCCTGGCTTCTCCCCCGCGCCCCGCGCTCTGAGGGAGGGCGCTCTGTCGAGTGGAGGGCTACACTGGGCTTTCCTTGCGCCTGTCGAAGGCTTTCCTTCCTGCTCGGGTGTCTAGCTCTCTCGCTTTTCTGCAGGGCAGAAGGCAGTGGAGAGGAGAGGAGCTGCTTGCTGGAGTTCTCCTAGCACTACGAAGGAGAGATGTGGAGCGGCCCAGAGAGGGAAGCCAAGTGTTTGCCAGGGGACGCTGAGAGTGGGGATGAATTTATAGGGCTCTCACTGCGTGACGTGCCCTCCAGTGGCTTTTCTGATTCGCTTTCTGACCTAAACACACATTAGTTTAGTCCCCATGCTAGGGCCAACACGGTCTCCACATATCTGCTGGCTGAAGTCAGAGGCTTTGCATATCATGTATTACATGGCAGGCAATGAAGAAGGCTTCTGAGGCTGGCCGGCTCCTCAGTCCTAGGCTCCATTTTCATGCTGTTGTAATATAACACCAGACGTAGGGTAGGCACATACATTCAAAATCCCAATTCCAGAGGCATAAGATCACTTTATCAGGAGCAGGTCAGAGGAGGTTGGGCTTAAATATCCTTTTATCCAGATTTTGGAAAATGCAGATGGGAAACCTAAGCAAGCATTCCCTTGGGTGCTGAGTTTCCAGGGAGCAGGGACCCAGCTCCTGTTGCTGATCTCTGTGAGACCTTTTAGGCATTCCTCTTGTTGGTTAGCTTACCACGAGAAGCAGCCAGAGCCTTCTTTTGTAGAGGACAGGAGGAGGGCAAGTCCTTACACACCCTGCACATGACTCTACCCATTAAAACGTTTCATTCACACAGGGCATGAAATTAGCTCTGCCTTTCAAATAATGTACTAAATAAGGTTTGTCTTTGCTAAGCAGAAACCTGCTTTCCGGAAGCCGTTGGACCTGAATTCAGAGAGACCTCTTTTATTTTATTACGGGGTCCAGGGAAAGGGTAAACCGGCTCAGTTTACACCATGTACCTCTTATTTTATGACTCATCCGGTTGTTGGGGAGTATGTGTTCTTCAAGTAGCTGATACAGACAATAGACAGGGGAAATGTGTGTGGCAGTGTTGGGGGAAGATCATGTATTATTAAACTTCTTCAAAGTCAAAGACCAGCTACTTTGGAGGTTTGTCAGTGAGGCTAGTGTGGGAGGGAAATTGTTCTTACTAATGTTACAGTGGTTTAAGATTAAGCAGAGTGAAAATCAAGTCATCCAAACATCGCTTAGTTGAAATTAGGATGCTCACTGTAGTTCTGCAGAATGTGACATTTCCTTCTTTGATAGATTTATGGTAGAAATGTAGATGGATTTGGAAATGGGAGGGCGGAATAAGCTTAATATATTTATCCTAGTTCAGCATTGTTTTTGGAATTTGAAGGCGACCCCTAGTCAGTGCTCTTACCATGAACAATTTCTTCGTTTTGAGAAGGCTTTTCACTGGGAATGGTCATGCTGTCGAAGCACGTGCGATGATTTAGTACTCGTTGTGTGCCAGGCAAAGTGCTAGACCCTGGGAATTGTGCTGACTGGGCTTTTAGGGGTTGCAAAGAACAGATACCGCTGAATTTACCCTAAGTAATGGGAGTTGACTGTGGAAGGAAGGCTGACCGGAATCTCTACCACTCAGCCACGTGTCTCCGAAAAGCCTTCCGGAAAGGCCACCCAGCCAGGCCTCACGAAAACTGGATTGAAGTTCAGGAACTGGAAGGTCATTCAGGATACGGCTCTGTGGCTAGGTTATCTCGCTGCCCCCTGAGTGGCAGGCATCTGCGATCCCTACTAACAGGCTTAGCCGCCAAGGTGATTCAGCTCCTCTCGCTGTTTTGCTCCGGGTGTCTCTTGGCTTCTGCTTCAGCTACCAACTGCTCAGCTCGCTGTTGATCTCACATTTAAACTCCTTTAGTGAAAGGATCTAATTGGCCCCACTGGGCACTAACCAGGTGCTAGAGTTGGACTGAGCTTTTGTGTCAGGCCTCCTTTTGGGTAGTGGGCGCCCTGCAGATTAGCAGACCTTGATCAGGTGCTTACTCCTGGGCTCGTCACCTATGTCCACGTTGTTGGGTCGCATGGTACAGAGCCTGGCCGCCTTTGCTTAAGAAACTTCCTAAGGTTCCTCCTTGTCTTCCCTCCAGGATTCGTGCCCCCAGAAGGAGCTGTGTTAATGGCAGGCACTTGGAGTTTAACAACCTTCTGTCTTCTGTGAGACTCAAGGATGAATAAGATACAACTCCATAAGCTTACCATCTATAAGGAGGGGGAGGCATGCACACAAGTAATGGTAGTATAACATGATAATTGCTCTAATAGAGGTATAGACGAGGTGCTCGTGTCTGATCTTCACATGGCCAGTGCGACCCTGGGGAGATTACAAAGACATACTCAGGTCTAGGCCCTATTCCTGGCAATTAAATGAGAATCTGCTGGTGGTGGAGGCCAGGAGTTGGTATTTTTTAAATGTTCCTCAGGTTATTCTAAGTGCAGCCAGGTTGAGATATCAATTAGCTTTATTTTTTTCAATGATTACAATCATTTTATGATTCTTTTTGACAGCAAAACTAAGAGACTCACTTATTTTGATAAATTCTAGGACTAAGACTCTTCCAAAATATTAAATCTTCTTGAAATACTACTAATTATCTTGAAATGCTAATATAAAGGAAAATGTAAAGCTTAGAGTTAAAGCAAATGCTTTTAGTTTTGAAAGAACATTTATTTGCATGATGACAACATTCAGATGACTGCAGAAAAGGTGAAAAGGTCTAAAATTCTCAAGATCCGCTACTACAAAGCCCAACATTTAAATATCCTGTAATTGACATTGATAAAAATCTCCTCAGACTCACCTTTACAGGCAATGAAAAACAAAGTTTTGTCCAAAGTGACTGCCAGGAAGTAAGCATTTGATGTCTTGGGGACAAGCGGACAGCCTGATGTCACAATCTCAAAGTGCCCAAATGCTGAAAATAGGGACCCCCAGAGCCCTGTGACTCCATCTTCTCCTTTCTCGAAGAAACAGATATGTTTGATTTGAAGCTGTTCCTCAGCAAAGTCCAGAAGAGAACGTTTTGCAGTCCAGAAGAGAACCACTTTTGCTCTGAATAGTTAGATTGTCCCCTGATAAAATAACACCAACACACTGCTAAGAATTCTCACACTGTCCCTAGATCTCAGCCTTTCATCTGGAAAACCCTGTCTGAGAATCAGAAAGAGAGAAGCAAGCATTGTTCAAGCATCTCATCTCCTCTTTGAGAAAAAAGGTTCAAAATCTTACTAATTTCCCATTTCACCATTATCATCATCTGCACTGAAATTTGTTGTGGATCTCTAACTGAAAGATGTTGAAATGGGGGGTGCTCTCTGTGCTTGAGGATCTTACAGTCTTGGGGAAGAGAAAACACAAACATAAATGATAAAAAATAATACAGGGTATCCTGAGGATATGAGCCTCGAGTATTACCATATTTGGAACTCAAACTAGGCCTTAATTGGGGTAGGTGAGCAGAGAGGAGGGGGCGGCGATGGGGGCATTCCAGGCTAGGTTGGAAAGAGTCTCTGGAGACTCAGTGTTGAGCGCTATAGCTGGTGGGGCAGTGGGGTGGAGGGTCAGCCTTTGGCCATGCACAGAGTCCTCGGCGAGCTCCCAGTGGGGCTTTGCAGCTGCTTTGCCTATAAGGGCCAGGCCCGGGGTCCCTGGACTCGCTCATAGCGTGGGTCATGACGGCTGAAACAGAATCCATCACTTGAGCAGGGCAATTTCCTTTTCAAAGTCACCACTTTATTAGGCAGGGATTTGTTTCATGCTTGCTCGCTCTTTAACAGTCATTTTCACCAAGGATGCTATTACTCATAAAGAAAAGATAAATTTGCTATCCTTCCAACCACTTAAAAAAAGAGAAAAAGAAAAAAAAAAGAAAAGGAGGAAAAATGGACTCTTAATGGCCTTTTTGCAAAGTGGTAGTAAGAGACAAATTTTTTGGAGCAAATTGTTTCTCATAAGAAATCAATTCTGACACTGACATGACAAATTTATCAATAATTTCCAGAAGTTCTTTATAAGGATCAGATTGTCTCATTATCTATTAATTTTATGTTTGGTTCTTGAGATTACTTTATGAGACTCCTCTTTTCCAGAAATAAAACTTCAATCAGGTAAGAGGGTTACAGCAGACTGTTACTCTCCAGGTGGTCTAATGGCTTAGCTCTGGGGTTGGCAAACTTTTTCTGTAAAGGGCAAGCATTTTCTGTAAAGATAGTAAGTATTTTAGGCTTTGCAGGCCATATAATCTCTGTTGAAACCACTCAACTCTACCCTGTATTGCAAAAGCAGCCATTGATAATATGTAAATGGGCACAGCTGTGTTCCCATAAAACTTTATTTATGGACACTGTGAGATTTGAATTTTATATAATTTTCACGTGTCATGAAATACTATTCTTTTGATTTTTTCCCAACCATTTAAAAATGTAAAAACCATTCTTGGCTCGTGGACCAAAGAAAAGCAGGCAGCAGATAGCACAAGGGCTATAGTTTGCTGACTCCAGCTTAAGTTGAAATTGTAACTTCAAGGAGATGTATCAGCTCTAGAATTATGAAATTCCAGAGCTGGAAGGGACCTGAGGCTTCTAGTCCAATCTCTTCATTTTACCAGGAGAGAAAACTGGGGCAGAGAGTGGTTAAGTGACTTATTCAAGGTCACTCTTTGAGTGAGAGACCCACCCCTACTGTCAAATCAGTACTTCACTGCTGTGTGTGTGTGTGCACATGCGCAGTGGGAACTGGGGGGAGCGCATGAAGAATGTGCTCTGTCATCTTTCTTTCATTATTGTGATTTAGTATATTTTGTTGAGGCAAGAAATGAATCAAAATACAGGGAAATCAGTTGGAATCTTTATTGGGGGCAGAGGTTGATGTCAGGCTGAATGGGGAACAGAACTTTGAAAAGAAGTCGATTGCTGCCTTTTAGAGCATAGCAGAGTTCCCAGGCAGAGCAGAGCACTAAATAGATTCTTTTTTTCACCTTCTTAAAAGGCCATTGTATTTCTGTGATTGGGTTTTAGAGAGCAGATACACAGAACCTCATCACAAAGGCATAGAGATATGTTGAGAGAGAGAGAGATTTGAGTGGGGAATCAAGATACCTGTATCCTCATTCTTTTGTAGACCACCTAGTGGCTATTGGAGAAATTTTGGAGCCTTCCTGAAGAATTGAAATCACAGGCGGTAGTTAAAGACACTGCCATAGAGGATAGTTGACTCTGGGACAAGGACTCAGCATTCGGACCTTCAAGCCAAAATATTCCAAAGGACCTCTTTGCCATGTATTAATTGCATAATACAGGCTTCAGTCTAGACTCTTTTCCTCTCGCCTAAAATAGATGAACTCTTTGACCATTTCCAATTCTGGCAACAAAACATTAGGACAGCCTCTCTTTTCTGCTGTTATATCCCCTCTCCCATTGCATTCTCCACTTTTTCTCAGTGTGGGAAAACAAATTAATCAACTAGTGAATCCTCGTCAATATTTATGGGTTTTATAGAAGCAAGTAGTAAATGTAAGTGAATTTTGTGGTCCCTTAGATGTTTAAGCCACTACCCAAATATCCCTCATTGGATTGGCAGCAGGGCTCAGACCAGGTTGAGACAGCTGAGGCTTCCAGTTTTGTGTCGTAGGTACCTCACTCACCTCACCCCAGTCCCTGCCCCGATTAGCAGAAATCTCAAGTTGAGAGCCCCAAATCCTAAAGCCACTAGTTAGGAGGAACTCATGCCAATGATCAGACAATTCGAGTTGGAGCTCTGTCCCTGCCAAGCTGTGGGCGCTTAGGAAACTTCTAGCATCCCCAGCCTTGCCTATTTTTCTCTTCTCGCTCCTTCTCTCCCTCACTGGGATATTGTGTGAATAGATGAGATAATAAACCAGATTTTCTGAGTTCATAAATTACTCCCTGGGAATAATTTATACTGCACGTATACTTTCTAGCCACTGGGGTACTATTTGGTAAATTACTGCCCTCCTGCAGTGCTCTAAGTGGAACCCTAGTGACCTGAAGGAGTTAATGCCTTCCTCCAAGCAATTCACTTACTCCTGGGGAGTAATTTACGCTCCGAGAGGATCTGGCGGACCATATGTGAAGTGCTTGGAGTTCTTTGAGAGAAAGTCAGTTCTAGAAACATAAAGAATTAATATTATAAAAAGTGCACTTGCAGACCATTCTTTGAGGAATCCATCATGTAGCTTTTCCCAGAACAATCCTGTAAGGTAGGTCATGGTTATCCTTTCCAGAGTCATTCTCTAGCCAGTGAAAGATCAGTCCATAATGCACCCAACCTGAGGTTAGGGAGTAACATATTTGTAGAGTGACTTCACTTATTTGAGAAATAATGGGTAAAAAATTGGGAAGTGCTTTTTAGAAACCTGAGTAAAAATCAAAAGGTAAAAGTAAGGTAAATGTAAAAAAAGTATCTGCTTTACAATGTTAATAGTAGGAATCTGATCCTGTGCAAAAAACTGAAGGATCAGTTTTTTTATACAAACACAGGAGCACTTACCTATTAGAATGTGGCATCTGTTTCAGAATGGTCGCTGAGGAGACTGTCTGCATATTCTAATCTGCAGCTATTGATCAAAACACTTTTATGACATGTGAAGGTATTTGTTCATTTATCCAACAAATATCGTTTAGGCATCTCCCTTCATAAGGCCTTGTGTTGGCACTTGTCAAGGGACACAAAAACGCATGAGACAGGATCTCTATATTCAGTGGTGGCACTTATCTGGATTTTGAGGATGGGTTTAACTTTGGGCAAAGGCCAAATCACCTGAAATAAATTCTAGGGAAAGAGGTGGGTTAAAACCAAGAGAAGGTAATTCAGAGACTGCTTTTCTGTTGTGGCTTGGTGGTAAGTTGCAATCTTCACCCTTCTCTGTATCCATGCTCTTTGCCATGTGACTTTGCAGATCTTCTTACTAAAAAGATGGGTCCATTTCCTCACCTTTTGAATCTGAACTGGCGTTGTGACTTGTTTTGGCCAGTAGAAGGCAATGGTAGTGAGGATGTGCCACTTTTGAGCCCAGGACCCAAAAGACTAACATGTTTCCACTTACTCTCTCAAACCTCTGCCATTACCATGAGAACGTGCTTGGGCCAGCCTGACGAAGGACGAGCGACAGGTGGAACAGGGTAGTGTTGCTCCATTCGTCACAGCCAAGGTCAGCTTAGATCAGCTGGGAGCCAGCTGACTCCCCCCGCCAGACACAAACCTGAGCCTAGTTAAGATGCGCAGAGCTGCCTCTCTGACCACTGCAGATAGATGAGAAATAAAAACTTCTTGTTGTGGGCTACTGGGATTTTGTGGTTGTTACACAGCATTGTTATGGCAATGGGTAACTGATGCAGCTTGTAAACTGATTCTGGAAGAGGCACTCCCAATGTTGAACAAGAACAACATTCCTGGAGTAAGTGGGTCTCCAGGTGACTGCTAGGAGGCTGTAACATACATGTGGGAGTATATGTTGCAGTGATTATTGGGCATCCTTCCTCTGTTCCTACTGCACTTTCTACTTGTTGTATGCAATTGTTCGTCTGCATATCCATGCTCCATTAGGCCAAATGTTCTGCAAGGGTAGCAGTCACTTCTTTGATTTTTGCATCCTTAGCATCTAACACATAAATGGTATTTGTTAGGTGAAGGAAAGTAAAGAATTTCATTAGCAATCATAACTTGCATTGTGTGCTTTTAGTAACTTTGGTCTATTCACAATATGTGCTCTTGTGTAATATGTAATCTTAAAAACTTAATTAATTAATGCAATTACTTGAGTAGATTATACATGTACATCTTATACCTTGCAAAAGATGCAAAAGTGTTTTCAGTGATAAGTGATTCTTTCTCTCATGCCGTCTTCAAGCCATCCACTTTCCCTGGTAGCACAATTACTAGATTCTTATGACTTCTTCCAGAGACTGTGCAATCATTAAAATAAAGCTTTTGTCTAGGAGTGAAAGAACATTTTCAACCATTATATTTTAAAAGTCTGCACATTTGACAATCCCCTTTCTTTTGCATCTTTGGGCCTATTGGATGTAGCCTTTGGGTTCTTTGCTAGAATGTTGTGAGAGCTGTGCCTCCTGAGTTTGTTCCTTTTTGATTCAGCAACATTCTTGTAGCTTGTTTAAGATTTGAACACTGCTGGAATTAACACAGCTGTTTGTGTTTGCTTCTTTGCTTGTGTACTTTATCACAAGAGATGTCAGCCAGCTTCAGGAGCCTGGTAATTACCAATGGAACCAGGCAACAGAGGGAGCAGATCAACTCAAAACACCAAGTTTTCTGGGTGGCAGGGAGCTGGGAGTTCTGAAGCCCTAAAAAGAATCTTTTTTCATGGAGAACCCATGCTTCTGTTTGATGATGATAGTGGGGTGAGTATAATTCTGATTTAAAACTCTTAAAGAAATCTTTACAGGCCAGCATGTTGCTTCTGCTCTATGACAATGCAGAGATTTATAAACTGTGGCAAAACCATGTTGGCATAACCATGTTGGCTGGAATCAAGCTGGCATTGTAGCTTTCAAGGCATGTTTTGGGGGTTCTATGAGGTGGTTTAAACCAAAGCCACAAAAATGAGAAAAAATTTATTTTCAGATGCATTTCAGTAGACTGCCAACTCCTAGCACTATGTGCTAAAGATGCAAATTTTTTTTTCTATTTTAACAAATTAAGTGGTTTAAAAATATTTTTCCTCATGATTCATGCAATTTCAAGTTCAACTAATTTTTAATGAGCACAAAATGTGTACTAGGTACTGTATTAAATGTTTGTATGTATTTTTTCTTATCCAGTGAAATATATTGTTCATTAAATGTTGTGTTATGAAGATCAAAACAAGAAAACAATTAAGAAATAAAATGATGTAGTTGTTTTATATTTGCTTTTTATGGTTTGCATAATCTTGGTTTGCATAGTATGATTGCCCATAATCTCTCTGTAGAGGAAGTCTTCTGTACGTTTTACACCAGATTTAGCATGATTCACTTGTATTCATGTGATGGCCACTCAGAGAAGAAAAACTGCTGTGTGGCATGCCTGGGATGTTAGTTTTTTCTTTATGATTGAGGGACTGTTTCATCAAAACATCGTTTCAAACAGATGTGTTCTGGTGTTTACTGAGGGGAGAATTTAAGCCAGACTGATTAATTAGCAGCTAGTCAAGACGTTTCCCTGTTCCTATCTGGGTAGTCTGGAGATTATGAAGCTGTCAGTAGGTTATATTCAGATGATGAAAAAAATGACAAACGGCAAGCCAAACCTCAGATCACTGTGGTAGGGTGTAAAATATGGTGTCCTAACCACTCTACATGGTTTTTATTGGAATATGAGTTTTTTTGAGTGAGCATGATAGGACTATCACAGGGGTCAGCATACTCTTTCTGTAAAGGGCCAAGTAGTAAATATTTTAGGCTTTGTGGGCCACACAGTCCATCATAATGACTCAACTCTGCAATGGTAGCACTAAAGCAGTCGTAGACAATATGTAAACAAATGAGCATGGCTGTGTTCCAACAACACTTTACTTATGGACAATAAAATTTGAATTCCACATAATTTTCATGTGTCAGGAAATATTATTGTTCTTTCAATTTTTTTTCAGCCACTTAAGAATGCAAAAAATATTCTTAGTTTGCGAGCCATACATTTGGCCCATGGACCACAGTTTGTCAACCCTTGGACTAAAGCAAAGAGTCTTGAATCAGTTTTAGTCCTGGTTCTTTTCAGTGTTTTACACAAGACTAATTCGTTTTAAATCTTAGTTTCTATATTTGTGAAATGAAGGATAATATTAGTTGCACCCTCTCTTCCCAGGATTGTTGGCAGGACTAAATGAGGTAATGGATGTGAAAGTATTTTGAAGAATGTGAAGTGCCATGCTGATGTAAGATATTGACTGTATTATTATTTGTATCAGGAATGTATTTGGTTAGAAGTAGCCGAGAACTGGATTAACAGTGGCTTAAACAATAAAGACACTTAGTGTTCACTTACCTGGATTTATAAGTTCCCAAGATTGGGGCAGTGGCTTGACGATGTCATTCAAGACCTGATGTTTGCTCTCTATACTCTGCTGGTATCCTTATGCTGGTGCTCCCTCCTTTCACAGAGTAAGATGGATGTCATAACTCCAAAAGTCATGTTCTCACATGACAGCATTCCAAAGAAGAAGGGGAATGGAGAGAAAAGGGATCTTCTTCCAGCCCTGTCTAATTTTATCAAGGAGGAAAATCTTTCTTAGCACTCCCCCAGAAGCCTTCCCTTCACATCTCATTGATCAGAACTGGTTCACATGCCCATCCTAGCCCAACACTGGCAAAGGGGAAGAAGATTGGTGTGCCTGGCTTGTAGACCAACCATGAGCCAGCTTCTGGAATTGGGCACAACGCTGCCTGGACAGTCAGGGTTCTGCTAGCAAGGAAGATGAGGGAGCAACTAATGGTGTCTGCCATGTTATTTTTCTTCCCTGTTACAAGTTGTGTGATTGGCATCAGATTGGGGGAGTGGCTGATGAGCTAATACCCTAAGAGCACTCAGAGATGAATCCTCCAGATGCCATACAAGCTGTCCGTATAGGCACATACAGGGAAGACCATTGTAGTTAGCTGGCAGGGTCAGTCTATGAGTTGAGACTGCATGAGGACAGAATCTCTGTATCAACCTGCACTAACCTGAGAAGGAAGCAGAAGAAGGGAGAAACCTGAGGGTCGTCTCCATATGGCTTCTGGAACGTACTAGACAGAACCAATTTAATTTCCATATATTATTATAAAATGCTCTGCAGTCTTTTTTTCTGAGGAATCTCTTCACTATAAAACCCAGTACTAGAGGTACCTTTGTATGTGTGTCTCATTTTCAGAAAATTCAGATTAAAAATCTGGACTCTCAAAACACAAATTAGGGGTCAAAGATTCTAAAGTTTAAAATATTCTTTATTTTATAGAAGAAAATACTTTGGTGCACTTTAAATTATTTCACTGATGAAAATCTGATTTCCACATAATTTATATATGTGTATGTGTACATACGCACACACACATGCACCTATTGCATTGAGCTAGGTAGACCTGTAAGTTGCTTGAAAAAGCATGAGTAAAATAATCCTTTAGA